TTATAGATTTATTAGTGAGTAATAAATTATCGAAGTACGAGAAGTGACATACAACGCCAACATATTATTGGGGGTCTCTACCCCCTTCAAAAGCAAGCATTTTGAGACATGGAACGCAAAAACTGGAAAGATCTCACCGCGATACGAGCAAGACTATCGAAGCCATGGTTTGATTAGCTCACAACGACCATGAAAGGATGCTGCGGAGATCATGAAATGCTTCTCCACGGATTTGCACTTACTACGGACCCCTGAAGAATCATAGTGATTTGTCATGGTGCTGGACCATCAGATGTGAAAGTCATTGTGGCTTCGGGATAAGTTTAATCTAGTTGTTCGGTAGAGTAAGCACAACTATCCATTGCAACTCAGGGCTCAAGAAAGAGGAACCATCCTGCACTATGATTTTTAGAGCATATCACCGATAACTGTAAGTACCAGAGGGGTATCTACCCCTTTCAAAAGAAAAGGAAATAAACATGACTTAGCTATCGTGTTTAAGATAGGTCAAAAAATTTACGCGTGGAGAGTAAAGAAAGCCATGTATATGTAGAACCTGTAGCACTATGCTTCATGACTAATATACTGTGACGCACATAATTGGTAAACAAGTCATGCATCTGAGAAAGACTTTTCGTGTCAGAAGTTTGCATGTGAAAGTTCGAGGACACTAAAGAGGCCCAAGAGACACATATGCCTAATGTGTCATGTAAGAACAATTATTCAATGAACTATCATAACATTCAGATCGTAAAGCAGATGTTCATATATTTAGGAAATAATATTATAAGGAAATCATATCACTTATCTGTTGACACTCTTCCAGGGGTATCCTCAAGTTAGAGTAGTAATACCCATTTGTCGAGAGACTCCTCGTTGTTGTCGAGGGAGCTTGTTCTTGACATGCGCCGTGTAGTGGTCCTCTATTTGTTGGAGGCCACTGTGGCCTGATTACACTCTTAGATCATAGAGGGGCTATCTTCGTTCTCGTATTTTTGCGAGTTCTGCAAAAATATGAAGAAGTTCTCCAAAAATTCGAGCATGCCTTTATGGTAAAAGACCCTGCATTACTATTCTCAAGATCATACATTAACAAATTTTCGAGAAATATGGAGGAAATTGACATAATGTTCTATGGTCAAGATCTAGATCACAAATAGCAATTAGGCTCCATTCGAGAAAGCATAGATGGCACGATTCTGTGATTACGCGTGTGAAGGCTAGGTAGTGGCTGATCATGAATGTAATGATACAAAAACCAGCAAAATCACACATTGCATGTATGAAGAATAGGTTAACGATTAACTTAGTCGATGATTTGTAGTCTATGCGATTTGAGACATGACTTATGATATGCTATTTATGCAAGGAGATAATAGCCATAGAGCATGTAAATGTCAAGGAGATAATAACACTTATCTTCCTTTTCGAGCAGGTCATTGCCCCTTGGAATGGGTTGCTTTGCAAGTCGAGAAGGATGCTTCTAGAATTGTCTTGTTGTAAGACCTACAAAACTAAGTAGTATAATTGCGCCACGCTCGGACAGTTTATTGTAAGTACAAACATTTCGTTAGATCACCCCAAGGGAGGCACTGAGTAATTTAAAGAGTATAACCAAAATTGTATTCGTTATAGAAGTCTAGTTAGGAATATGACAACCAGGAACGAGTAAGTTTAGAGTTACTTATCTCCTTTCAAATCAGTCGATGGGATTGTCTCTGCCCTTGTCATAGGGCTAATCTGTGTGATCACGACTGTATGTGCCATCGATCCCTCGAAAAATTGAGCTATGCCTGCATAGCTGTTCACCTTGGACGAAACGTTAGTTGTTCTAATAATAAGGTCGTTGGACCCTTGGTGAGCATGTAAGAATTGTGCACAACTTAAAATGAAGTACCCCAAAATCCGTGAGTTGTGCATGCAATTCAATTTGTAATGTTTACTTTTCAAGAACCTTCATGTTTGCTGTGATGGCAATGAGGGATTGATTCATATGTAAGAAAACATAATCAGGAAACATACAATCGACATGCTAATACTATGATTATGTAGCAACAATAGGCTCAGGGAGACCTAGTATTTATATTTATGCATAAGGATGCTAGACATAAATTTGTCACCCTCAAACTGAATAAGCTTGAAATGCAATGACGTATGACAAGGAATTATTTGTAATAGGAGGCTATGATAACTTATCTGTCATTTAGCCTTCTGCCTCGTGCAATTACGTAGGTGTGGGTGTTTCAGTTTGTGCTGGGAGAAACAACCGAGTAGCCCTGTACTCACGTCTCAAGGAAGCCGCGTCCCCCGTCGAGGAGATGTGACCTTTGAGATATCAGGTCGCTCCTTGCTATAAGGTTAGGATTTCATTATGTAAATTGGGATATATTTATGGAAGTGCATTTTTTTTTAAAAAAAAAAAAACAACAACGTAATTAAACGGGTAATTTTGTACGTGCATCGCAACAGCATTTTTCTTTTCCTTAATTTATTCAAGGAAGAACAATCTTTATTTAATGTTAGAAAAATCAAGTATAGCTTGCTGAAAGAAGGTCCATCCCATGAACTGAATAGGCTAATAGTCCTCTAGCAGCGACAGATACTAGTATCAATTCAATGAATAAAAAATTAATACAATTCTATCTTGTAACGTTTCCGTCCCACAAAAATAATATAATAACTTTTTTTTAAAACTTAAACAGTAAAGGCTAGAAGGTATATTTTTTGTAGGACCGTGCCCTGTGGGAGTATTCAAAAGCCTATGAACTCAACAGATGAGCAGATGATAGATATGGTTGACTAGGGTTAAGAGTGTAGCATTTTGGTATGGATTGAATGGCTGACCATTGCATTTGTACGAAAAATGTTGAAGGCAATTAGGTTTCTAATCATTGTGCTCTGTAAATCCTTCCTCAGCCCTACACTAATTCTTCTTACAAATATAATTGACGTAAGGCATTTAGCTGATAGGAAATGAATAAGCTTCTTTTGTTATTTGGCTTGTTATGCCATTTTAATTTCATCAATGGATAAAATCAATGAATTTGGGAAACGACATTTTGACGTGGCCAACCTATGCCAATTTGTATCATAGTATGTTGTGTCAAATTAATTATAAAGACTAAAAGTCTAAAATGGTTTGGATTATTCAGTAGCACTTCCTCATATTCCTTATTAATAATGTACTTCGATCTGAATCAATGATTTCGTCATCAATTTTTTTGTCTATATTGTTACTTAAAAACATTTGGAATTATGCTTCTGCTTTGGATCTGGTATTTGTATTCTACGAATCACATATGCTTCGCATATTCCTTACATTCATCACGTCTAGCTGCTTGCATTTGACTAGAGAGATTATTTTACACTAATTCTATCTCTTGCACTTTTTCTTGTTTTGGTCAGGAGTATAAGATAAGCTCTCAATTTATTTTTCAAAATAAGAAATTCTCAATTTATTCGCAATTTCACAATATACACTTTAACTAATTCTTGCAACTGTAGACAACTAATTATCTTCCAAATTGATTGGTATGTCAGATAAGCATGTACAGGAAAATGATTTTGAAGTCCCCCCAATTTAGAATCTCTTCAAGATTATTGCTTCTCCTTCAAAATCAAGAACTGCTTGAAAAATGTTCTTTGAATCCCTACATATGAAAGTAAATAAAAATATAGTAATGTACCATAGGTGGATGGCAGCATTCGTGGGCAATAACAGACAAAGCAAAAGTAAGTTGAATGAGAGGGTAACAATACATTTATTTGTACACCAGATAACTTTCCATGAATGCATGAAAGAAAGAAAAGATAGTTTCATTAGAGGAACATAACGTACACCAAAATAAAAAAATTTGACTTCCGAAAGGACCTACTCGATTCGAATCTGGATTAGTTGGAACAATGTTTTAGGACACTGAGTACGTATTATATCAGAAAAAATAACAATTTGAATGAGGTTGCACATGTATTACATTGCATTTTGTAATTCGAAGTAAATTTTCTCTCAACTTGGAATCAAATGGATGGTGAAGTTGCATTTAGCTAGGGTTTCTCGATCAACTTGAAAATAGAAAATTCGAGATATTTGGAATCAAATTCACTACCACGTATATCATTTTAGTTTATTAAACTGAGCCATTATAATGAGATGAGACGTAGAACATTATTACACTTTTATTGTATATTGAAAGCAGAGAGAGAAAAAGGGGAAAAAGAAAAAGAAAAGGAAAAGAAAAAGATAAACTCAAATAGTTATTGGCACACACATCCCTTTCACTACTACTTGAAGTCTTAGGTAAACAAAAACTAAAACAAACCATGAATGAAATTCTAATAGTATTTATGTTGCCAAGAGAGTCAGAAACTGTACATTTAAACATGAAATTAAGATTAGAAAAGTACCATCATTTTTCAACCCAAAAAAAAAAAAAAAAAACAGAAAAGACAAAGCTTAAGCCGTTAGTTTGAACAGCATAATAAGGAATGAAGGGGACATATTGCTTTTTTGGATAGTGACTCAAAGACTTCCGTATTCATTTGATTAGATTCCGTTCGACAATTTGGACGTGGTTGCCTCATTGTAAGTTGTTTTGGAGTCGCTAACATCAAAACTTGTATCGAGAAGTTTCAGAGATATACACACATTTTATAACGTTATTATTACTGAGGTCGGGGATTCAAAATTCATCGAGTAATATAATTACAAACAACATGTTGCATGAATTAAACCAAAAGAAAAAATGAAGGCAAACTGAGGGTTTCGGCGTGGAAGCAACACGTCACCGTTTGCAAGAGATTCCAACCTTTTTGGCCAGAAATCTAATTTCTTTTTTATGTGTTTGGTCGTAATCAGGATGAAAGCTTTCACTAGTTAGGCTTCGAAAATATCATAAATTATTTTCGTTCTCACCTCAAAATTGGGTATAAATATCCTGTTTCATCAGGTCTAAATTCCTGGAACTATACTTCTCTACTTAATTTGTTTCTGAGTCAAACAAATGGAAGTTGCGAAAATGTTCGAACCCATTTCCACTTATTCTGTCCAAGGTTTCCTTTCCAGCGATTTTGGCCCTGAAAATGTTCTTGAAATGCATTCCAATGTCGACTTGGATTTCGTTTCCCCTGAAAAAGATTTCAGTTTAGATGTTCAAATGGAGGAAGAATCATCAATTCAGGGAAGGCCAGAAAGCTTATTCGTAGCTGAACAAGAACAACAATTATCCTATTTGAAGAAAATTGAAGATGAACTCATGGACGAGGAAGAAAGTGGCTTAACAGATCTGCTGCTTATGGGAGCTGAAGCTGTTGAATCAGGCAATGTTGGTTGCGCTTCAATGGTTGCTATGAAGCTCAACAATCTCCTGTCTTATCATGAAGAAACCCGCGAAAATCCCGTTAACAGGTTAGCTCTGTACTTCACTCAGGGGCTACTTAACAAGATTGAGCCAGAGCTTTTTGCTGCAGAGGAGCTGGAGGAAGATCATAATCTGAATTTTCAGGGGAGAAATGCAATTCTAGCCTTTCAATTGCTGCAGGAGCTTTCACCATTAGTGAAATTTGCACATTTCACAGCGAATCAGGCAATCCTGGAGGCGACAGAAGCTCACCAGGAGATTCATGTTATCGATTTCGATATCATGGAAGGAATTCAGTGGCCTTCTTTAATGGTTGATATTGCTGGTCGAGGAGATGGTATTTCTCTTAGAATAACAGCTATAGTCCATGACAAAAGAAGTTCTACTAGCAGTCACATCCATCGAACAGGCGACCGATTACGTGAATTTGCCAATTCGATCAATGTTGCTTTCTCATTTGACCAGATTGTGATAACAAAAGCAGAGGATTTTGAAGGGATTAAACAGGGGAAAGCAGCCCTGGTAGCAAATTGTATGATGAATCAGCTTCACATGCCTAGTAGAAAAAGGTCACTGGTGAAAATGTTTTTTAATGGGTTGAAGAAATTGGCCCCGAAAATGGTTGTTTTAGTCCAAGAAGAGTTATTCAACTTCTGTAAAGTACAGAACATGTCATTTGTGGAGTTTTTCTTTCAGGCATTAAACCATTATTCTGCGCTCTTAGATTCCATTCGTAGCGGATTTTGTCGCGGAGGCTACGAATTCGCATTCAGTGTGATAGAAAAAGAGTTCCTGAGAATGAGAATCCTGGATTGTATGAAACAATTTCCATGTGGAATGACAGATGAATTGAGGACAGATAATCCTTTTTCCAGGGAAGTTGGATTCAGGGCAATCTCAATGAGTTCATGTAATGTTACTCAAGCAAGGCATTTGGTGAGTTTGTTCAATGGAGATTTTTGGGTGCAAAATGAACCGTATCGGTTGAATTTGTGCTGGAAATCAAGGCCCTTGACCACTGCTTCCATTTGGGTTCCTACTGCCTAGCTGGAGACTAGTAGTAGTAGTCTTCCTAGGTCATAGAGACATTGTTTGTGTATGTTCGTATCAGTTTTACTTCCTCTGTCCCAAAAAAATTTATATTGATTTTTAAAATTTCTATTAAAATTAGTACAAATTTTAAAAGTTATTGTGAAATATTTTTTAGGGACCGAGGGAAGATTTCAAAGGCAAAATGACGTATTGTTAAAGTTAAAACTTATACCCTCCTATTCTAAAATAATTGTCCCATTTGGATTCAATTTTAAAAAACGTAATGTCTCAGTTCCAAAATAATTGTTCAGTTTGGATTTTCATTTTTGGTTCAAATCCCGTCTAAAAATGATTTTTCAGTTTGGATTTTTAATTTTAGTATAAACATAATCTACTGTACCAAAATGATTGTACCCAGTTTGAATTTTTGTTTTTTAGTTCAAAATTTTTCAATTTTAGTAAAAACATAACCCTCTGTTGAAAATGATTATTCAGTTTGAATTTTTATTTTTTAATTCAAATCATGTTTTAAAATAATTGTTCAGTTTGAATTCTGTATTGAGTTGGTATTTTATTTGGTTCAGAATATTATTAATACATCTAAAGTACGATAGTCCAAGAAATGCTATTGTACATATGGAATAAATGAGGTCAACTTGTTTGTTTGTTTGTTTATTATTTATTTATTTTTTAATGAACTTAAACTTTGGCCGATAGTAAAGCAGTTAAATACAATGTATATAGTCATTTCTTATACGCATTTGACATTACTGCTATTTTGAATTACTGAGTAGAAAGGTACATTAGATGAACTTCAGAGCAAAAGCCAAATTAATGGAATCTTTCTCTGAATGTTGTACTGAACATGGATTCTCTTTTATTCAATGAAATTGTAGGTGGCTAAGACATTGTGAAATTTCCAATCAAACAAGGTTAAATGCTCTTATAAGTTAGATACAATTTTGTAAATTTGCTCATCTTTCCCAAAACAAGAACTTTGTTATGAAAATGTACAATTCAAAATAGAATGTACTACAATATATATTTTGCAAAAGTTTGTTCTGAAAATCATTTTGGAAAAATCGTTTGTACTTTTAAACACTACATTCTTGTACATATTGTGCATTTACAAAAGAATGTACATATCATGATCGTCGACCTAATAGGGTCTTCTGAGAACACCTAATTAAATTCTTTGCTATATAAATTCTATCTCATAGTTTATATACGTGTTTAGGTATATATAAATTTATAAATAATTCCATGTCTCTAATTATGTCAAGTTATGTAAGTATGGGAAATTCACTTTTTTGGTTTAGTTTTTGTCCAACTAAGAAGCATCAGTCCACATTAATTCTATTTCGGATGTTTTGTCCTATATATTGAAATAGACATTTATGAACTAGCATTAGTGCGTTTTGATGACGTTTTGGGAAGGAAGGTTTGCTGTTGGAACTACGCCACTTTCTGTGGTTTAGGAAGGATGATTGATTCTCCCAACTCTCATGGTGAGGCAAAACAACTGCAAATAACTTTTATATAATACCGGAAAGACGATTGGCATGATTTCAAATCATGATCATCATCATATTACTTACTACTTCCGTCCCATAATTATTATCCAATTTGAGTTTTCATTTCTAGTTTAAATTATACTAAAAGTGAAATATCAAACTAGACAATAATTTTAGGACAGAAGAAGTATAATTTAATTCATTGCAAATGGATTCATTTAGTAGTGCGTATATTTCGTGACGATCTGAAAGATTGGTTATTCATGGTGATGAAAGAGTGATTATAAAAAGTGATGATTTTCAAGGCTTGTAGATCATTTACCGCTTCAGACATTGTATTATTATACAATGTGATCACGTTGAATATCGAAGTTAAAAGCCAGATTAATTAACATGTCATTTGTAGAGTTTTTCTGTGAGGCATCATTATTACACCACCTTATTCCGCGCTCTTAGATTTGCTTCGTAACCGGATTTTGTCGCAGAGTCTACGAATTCTCATCGAATGTGATAGAAAAAGAGTTTCTCATAATGATTGAATTAAAAAAAAAAAAAAAAGTTTGTCCGAATGAAAATTTTGGAGTGTACTCCTTCTGATACTTCTCATACTCTTGCTCAATTCATGCAGAAACCTATGCAGGCTCATTGGGACGCTGCTCTTCGCGTTGTGCGGTTTCTGAAGGGTAATCCAGGCCAGGGTATTCTTCTTCGGGCAGATTCGGACCTTACCTTATCTGGCTGGTGCGATTCTGACTGGGCTAATTGTCCGTTGACTCGCCGTTCTCTTACTGGCTGGTTTGTTCAGCTTGGTCAGTCCCCAATCTCTTGGAAAACGAAGAAACAACAGACGGTTGCTCGCTCGTCTGCTGAGGCAGAGTATCGCTCTATGGCTGCTACTGTTTGTGAGTTGAAGTGGCTGAAGGGTTTATTGCATTTTCTTGGTGTTGCACATTCTCATCCTATTCGGCTATACTGTGATAGTCAGGCTGCTTTACATATTGCCGCGAACCCGGTCTTTCATGAACGCACGAAACATATCGAGGTTGACTGTCATTTTTTACGAGATGAAGTCTTAAAGGGTACCATTCTTCCGAGTTATGTCTCTACTCATGTTCAGTTGGCAGACATTTTCACGAAGGCTCTGGGTAAACCCCAGTTTGAATATTTTCTTGCCAAGTTGGGCATTCGGAACCTGCATGCTCCAACTTGAGGGGGGGTATTACGATGTATATATAGTAAATATGTGTGTTATCTTTGTAATTGTTGTATTTTACCTTAGTTAGGGTTTTGTATACCGTAATTCTAGGGATTGATTGATACGTAGTTTACTGTATATAACTTACCCTAATATCAAAAACAACGGCAAGAGATTAAGCCGCTTTTCCTTTGATCTCTTCGTTCTTCTCATTTTTCCTAAGTTTTACTTATCGAGTTTTTTCAATCGTGAATAAAATTTTTAAAACGCTTCTTAATAACTAAGATAACACAATAAATGTATAAATATATTTTAAGATTTTATTTTTAATTTAAAAAACACATTAAACGAAATTAAGGAAAAATTAAAAACAACTTTAATTCTTATTCAATGACAGAAGAATTGAGGATAGATAATTCTTATTCAATGGCTGCTGGATTCAGAGAGATCCCATTGAGTTCTACAAATGTTAATCAAGCAAAGCATTTGGTGATCCTCTTGACTTTGTGCTGTAAATCAAGACCTTTGACCACTGCTTCCATTTGGGTGCCTACTGCTACTAGTCTTCCTAGGTCATGGTAGGAGGTACTAGGAATTTTTGTCTATTTTCTATATCAATCGTATTTTATGGTGAAAAAGAAAACATAATGTTGTTGAATTTGAACTTTATACATTTTATGTTACAAAATATCATCAATTAATTTATAATTTAAGTTACTTCAAGAAATGCTGTATATTAAACAAATGAGTGGTAGAAATATTGTCAACTTGTTTTTTTATAATGAGCTTAAACTTTTGGAAGATAGTAAAACAGTTACAGTTACTATGTATGCATGTAACCATATGTTTGAAACACATTACTACTATTTTGAAAGGACCATGACATCAACTCCACGGAAGATGCCAAATGGAATCTTGCTCACTTTTGTACAGAAGTTGGATTCAACTTATATTTTGATTGAAAAGGTTGTACACCATTGATATTGAGGGAGAACATAATTTTTTATTTAACTAGGTTAAATTTTAGACTAAATTATATTCATTTTTGTAAATTCTCATTTTTTTTTCTCTTGAATAAAACTTTACTATGAAATTATCCGAATTAATATTGGTTGTAACTTACAAGATCAATATCCACTGAATTTATCAAATTGCCATTTCAAATGATCATTTGTATTTTTACAAACGCTAGATTCTTGTATTCACACGCTTTGTTTCAGAAAATGGTCCAATTTATATGAAAGTACGTCCTAAACAAGTAGTCAAGCTAGTTTCAGAAAATCAAATTCGTTTGATAAAAACTGTTCTGAGTCAGAAACAAACTACACGAGTATTGTGAATGATTAGTAAGTACTCCTCCTCTCTCATAATTATTGTCCATTTTGCCTAAAAAATTTTGTCCCAAAATTATTGTTCAATTTGACTTTTTATGGATCAAGTTACACATTTGTCCTTAGTAAAAAACATTATCCATAAAATCTTAGTGGTTAAACAATTACTTATGTAGGGGTATATCCGGTTGTTTAAGGTAAAATATAATTAAGTTTGACAAAAAATAAAATCTTTTATTTTAGTAAAACTGGACAATAATTATGGGACGGAAGGAGTAATAGTTGATCACAATAAAAAATTATACTTGCGCAATGTGGGTTTACGTATCGGTGAGAGTATTGTGTAAGTAAAAAGAATATGAAAGAAAAACAATTTTTTTGGTAGAAAGAGAAACAACTTTTTTTTTTTTGGTATAAAAGAAAAACAATTTGTGGTAGCACAAAGCCACAAAGGGATGAGTTTATTAGAGCGAAAATTTGTAAGCATGCATCAGTTTTAATTTCGGGAGATCACTTGGTTGTTTTAACTTTGTCAAATCAAGAACAACCTGTAAATTAACTATGTGTGTTGAAGTAGACATTTATGCAGAAGTTAGTACGTACTATTAGTGTTCTTGATGACGTTTTGGAAAGAAAGGAAAAATTGACTTCAAGCAATCACATCTATTTATTTTCTATACTATTTATTTGAGTTTTATACATCAATGATCGATAGATAGTTTAAATAATTGACCCATTATTCATTGTAAACTTGATCCCGAATGAGGAGGTGGCGGCGCCGGGGGAGGAGGTGGGGAGGTGTTGGTGGCGGCGGCTGCCATGAATTTTTTTATTTTTGATTTTTTATTACAATATTAAATCTTAATAAAAATAAATGAAAAAGAAAAAAGATTTTTTGTTCGGTCAAATTAGTGGGCCTCACTGTTCATATAAAAATTAATAAAAAATTAAAAATTTAACAGGAAGGAATGTTTGACTATTAATTTTTCATAAATTCTTTTACCTTGACCAAAATTGATGACAAAATATTTTAGGGGACTATTTTTG